TAAAAGGTTCTTTCCCCCAAGCCCTGAGGTAAAACCCGAGGCTGTTTACTATGGCTCCAAAGGTCAAAATTAATAGCACGAATTGAGTCTTCTTCTGGCTCTTTGAAACTCCTTGTCAAGTGGCACAGCCAGCTGGGCACACAACTCTGATATGCAGATCACAGCGTTTGTGAACAGATAAAACGAATAACAATGAGCTCATCCTATCAAATATCAACTCTCTCATGGGCAGGAAGGGCTCTGTTTTATGCAACTACTATCTCCTCTTTTGGTCCATTTGAGGCCATGCAAGCACCTCCAGAATCTGTACTACAGGCAGCAAATGACTGGAAGCCAACTCAAAGTTTGTAGAACTGCAAACACCCTGAGGACAGGGAAGAGGAGAACTAAATAAAAAATATATTAGCTACCAATATGCTAAATATTTGAGTATATTATTTCATTTTTACTTCCACTAATCAAATAACTAAATAATTATTTCCATTTTAAAGATTAGAAAATTGAGGTATGCTGAGATGAAGTTATCCACCCACGTAAAACCCAAATTCTTACCTGGATCTGCCCTCACACTAATATCCTTGCTTTAACCTCAAACTATATATATATATATATATATATATATGCTATATTCTATGATGTTGGAGAAAATAGCAGAAACTATGAAACTTTCCCTTCTCAATAAGGAACATGTATAGTAACTGTCTACCAGGCTGCTATCTGCTGTCCTTCCTGAAACCGGAAATAAGATTTCTCAAAGGAAAACAGACTTATCAAGGACCTATGTGATAAAGCTTTGCTATGTCAGAATTTAAAGAAGGGTTAAGTGGGAATAGTAATGGGTTACCAAATCACCACCCAAAACAGAGGAAAGGTCACTAAAGTTGGAGAAAACTCAAAACTGCCACAAGACACTCAAAAATTACGACTGGTGAATTAGGCAGCATATACAGAGAGATGGAGCAATTATCAAGTTCTAGATATGGTTTTCTAAGGCAGTAATGGTAAGCAAACCAGCCTTCAGAATCAATAAACCTCAAATTTGGGGGAAAGCTGCCTACGGCCTTTTTTTTTAACCATTCTGTGCCTGTGTCCTTGACAGCAATTCCCCACCACACACAATTACACCATCTCCTTTTGAGTACCAGCAATTTTTAATGATAGCAATGATAACTACTTTATTAACAACATCCAACAAATACTACCAAACAGCCCATTCACCCATTCACCCTTCCAACTATGCAACTTCCACCCAACAGCTCCTATAATTCACCTCAACAACCCAGCCAACAATTCCTTTTATTTGTTTGTTTCACTTTAACTTAGGGGCAATGTATGGTCTCTCCCTCAGATGTGGTCACCACAGTGCTCCCATCATCAAAGCACCTACTGATACTTATTTATTTAACAATGCCATTTGTAGATCACTATGTGCTAGGCACTGGGCTAGATCCTTACACTCTCTTCTTCACCAGCAGCAATTCTCCACAGCTTAGAGAGAGGGAGAGGTCCAGTGTCCTACCTCCCAAAAGGAACTGCATACACAGTACCAGAACCATGAGCACAAAGAGCTCATGCCAATTATGAAATAGGAGTTCCTGTTAAGCAAACTACAAAGCACCAGTCATAAAGCCATATGCTTTTAGGGCACTGGTTCTTAACCCTGGCTGCATACTACATTCACCAATGAGCTTCAAAATAATGCCAATGCCTGGGCCTCATCCCAGACCAATTAAGTAAGAATCTCAGGAGGTGGGGCTCAGCACGGCCATATTTTTAAAAACTTGCCAGGTGATTCAAAAGTGCAGCCAGGGTTGAAAACCACAAAGCTTAAATGTTTATGAAAACCGCTTAATTCACAAATCTATCAGGTGATCCAAGACAAAAATGTCCTCTCCCATCCACAGCACCTGTCATTGGGCTGTATTAAAATGATACATCAATAAAGTGTTCTCTTAACACTGCGGTCTCATTATTTCTTTGTTTATGGCAGTGGAATACTAAAAGGAGAGTGGCTTGAGGTCACTCATCGAGAGCCAGGCCTCACTCTAGAACTGGGGCTGTGTGTGGCTCCAGCAATGAGAATGCGGCTGAGGAGCCATCTTTCCTGTTCAGCCGCATGTATGCAGGCGCAGAGCCAGCTCTGTCCAGGCAGGAAGCAGCTTCGGCTCAGCAACCTGACAGGAGAAAACCCTCACAGTTCAGACAGGATTATCAAACTCTTTGTGCTCTTAAAGGAGAGTAATTATAGGCATGTGAAAAAAGGGAAGCACTCCCTGAGGAACTCTTCCTCACATGCTTCCCAAGAGGGACTAGGGCCATTAAAAATTCCATGATGAAGAGGAAAAACAGCCTGGGAACAGCCAGGAGGCAATACAGCAAATTAATACACCAGCCCTCCTCGGGGAAAGCTGTGATAAAACAGGAAACACTTCTCTCTTTGCAAAATAAAATTATACCACTAATGATAACAGAGTCACCACACACACACACACACACACAAATCGTTCTAATGATGGGTGGGGAATTCCCAATGCTACCCAGATGTTTTGAAAGAAATCTTTTTCCTATTACTACAAATAAAATGGAACAAGAAAAAGACACAATTTCCATTCGAAACAATTTTTAATACAGTCACTCAGCCGCCTCTCCCCTTCTACCACCACCACTCTTTAACATTCCTTCCCAGGCTTTGTTAATGGCCCACTCTTAACAAAACCGCCATCCAGTTCTCAATCCAATGTCATCAGCTGGCCGCACTGGAGCTAGATGATTCCTTCTCTACTGAGCCTCTTGCCTGGCAGGGCCCCCACTATTTCAAAGGAATCAGAGGCAGCCACAGAGGTTCAGTGTTTTCTCATGCACATTTTCTAAAACTGCACAAAGGTCACTAGAGTAGTGGCTGCCAAACTACTGACTGCCAATCAAAAACAAAAACATTCCTCAGATAACACATACACATAAAAAATCTGGGCTACTAGACTAATATATGTCCAATTCAAAATAAGAAATATTTTTTAAAATATTCTATTCCAAACTTATATGCATGCAGCCTACTTTGTATCCACTGCCCGGGGAATGATGTTCAGAAAAATAACAATGAACTACAGTTGTCCACATCCTCTCACAATGCTTTTAGCAAAGGTCTAAAGCAATCAGCAGTATTTACCTAGAGCTGAGCCTACAGGAAGCACAGCCTATAAACTTCTTTGTGTTTCCAAGTTCAGCCACAAGCACTGCCAGTGAGAGGATGAAGATAATGATGTGATAATGAGATACACAAAGAAACAAGCGGCCTGACACTTGCTCCAGCTAAGGTGAGGCTTTATAGGCAATATACTACCTGATAAAGCATAGATACTATTCTTAGCTCAGCACAGCAGGTCCAGGTAGCAGAGGTAAAGAGAGAAGGGCAAATAATCCACTTTCAGCATCATACAGTGCTACTCACGCAGTCTTCTCCAAAGAATTTATATAGTCAGTATTGCATCTGGTATTAAGATAAAAAGGTGGAGGACCATTTTCCCACATTTGAAATTTTGGGTCTTCGGAGACAGTTTGAGTACCACCTCCAGTCTAAGAAAGCCTCCCTAAGCCTCAGTGGGGGAGCATTTGCACTTCACATCATTCTGGTACACACTTTTATGCACTTGAACTCCACACTACAACAGCTGATTTCCACACCTGTCTCTCCCAAGAGAAAATAAGCTTCTTGAAGACAGCGTCTAAATGAAAAGCCTAGCAAATACCAGGGAATCACAAATTCTGAATGAATGAATCAATGATGAATAAACAGCATGCTACTGAAGTAAAGGTGTTACAGTGGTAGTTTATCACCCCACAACTTTCCATTTCTTGGTAATAACATTGCTGATGGTCTCTTTTCAAAAGACCTCCCCCACTGAAATATTATTTCTCCAGTAGAAGATCTGGCAATAGGTGCAGAGTTTAATATGGAAGAGAGTATATAACAGGCCAGCATGGAATTGACTCACTGCATCCATGAAAGAATAACATCTTGGTGTAACCTGTCCCCAAAATCTATAAACATCTATTTCAGAGCATATAAAGAAAAATAATCATCAGAACCTTGGAAAGAAATTCTTTGCCAATAAAAGAAAATTTCTATGGTCCAGCTTACTAGCTGCTCTTTTGTATACAATAATGCTGCTAAGGGGAGCTAACACCAAAACACTATTTAAATCCCATGCCACCTAATGTAAGAGAATTTATATTGAAAGATGCAGGATTCATTCTGACAAAACCACTGAAATCCTAGTTAAGTGCCAAGACACTGTATTTGGTATTGGGGACATCAGGGAACAAGACCAGGTCTCTATACTTTGAAGCTTATATTCTAGTGAAATACAGAAGCAAAAAGTAGGGGAGGGAAAAAGCAAATTGGTTACAGACTGTGATGAAAAATATAAAGGAAAGAAATAGATAATGAGCAAAGGTGGAGGCAGCCCCTTTAAACAGGATGGTTCCTCCCTGAGGAAGTGGCCCGAGTTTAGATGAAGGAGATAATAATGGCAAGAGCTCCGAGACAACGAGGCAAAGGGAACAAGCGTGAAGGTGCAGAAGTAGGAGGGGTTGCTACGTTAGAGAACAAAATGGAGCTCCCTGGGGCCACTGGCTCTTCCCCAGTAAGGAGTTAGAAGTATATGAAAGGAGTTGGACATATGGTCAGAAGTCAGATTATGCAGAGTTTTGCAGGTCATAGCAAGGGCCATTAGTAATGTTCTCTGAAGATGAGGCTTTTAACATAAGAAATATGAAATGTGAGCCAGAAGACTTAGGTCAAAATTGAGACTGAAATCATCACAAGAAATATATTTCATCACTCTGCCTCAGCTTCTGTATTTATAAAACATTTATTGACATTGAAGAATTGTTGTAAAGACTGACTTGGACACTATAAAAACATACTTTATAATTTGAAAAGTCCTATTCAAAGGAAAATGGTACTCTCTAAAGGAAATAACAGCCACCAAGACAATTACCTGGCAGAGCAGTGCGCTGGTGAACATCTTCGATGAGAAGCATCAGCAAGAACATCCAGAGAGTAAAGGGGAGAAAGTGGATTAAACTGCAAGAGTAAGTGAGACTTTTATTATGACTTATATGAAACAGACCTGCTCCTAAAAGTTACCTGTTACTAGATCATTTTTACCCTATGGCTGCTTGACTCTTTTGCCAGACCAAGAAACCATTCAATAAAGTGGCACATATTCAGAAGTGTACTCATGAGTTGGCCTACCCGACCTGACACACCCAAAAAAGACCTTGGTAAACACATCTTTTCAAAAACTTCTAATATACAATACTTAAGTGGCAGAGAACAGTATTTCTTAGCTGATACAAGAGGACCTTATTCCCACTGATATCAACTCCATTCCCAAGAAAACCAACATGAAATCACCTTTACATTTCCTTAACCTGGCAAACATTTCCAGTTAATAAGTGGTTAGCATATTCCAACAGCACAGTGTAGTGGAAACAGAATTAGATGAAGACTTAGAATACCTAACATTCAGCTCCAGCCTACAACCCAGTTGCCATGTACTCAAAACTGCATAAGTTCTTGTGTTTTACTATCATCATCTGTAAAATGGATGCTTCCTAATATGTCTTTTATCAATTTTATAGATTGTTGTGAGGATTAAATGAAATCTTGATTTTAGCTTATGAAGTAATTCTAGTTCCCCATCTATAAAACAACTGATCTCAAACAGTGGCTGTAAGGATCAAATGGGATCCCTACCTATAAAAGTACCTTTGTATTTGATGGCTTTCTTGAACTTTGTCCTCAATAAATAATCCTCTCCAAAAACCTAAGAACTAAAAGTATTTTAGATTGGAAAAACTCAGAACTGCAATTTCAAAAGATTTTTTTTTTAAATTCATCTGTCCAGGTCCTCCATGGTGGTGCAGCAGGTTAGAGCTCAGCACAGCAAAGCTGTCCATAACCATTTCAGGGTAAGTTTAATCCCCAGCACTGCAGGTGACCCACATGGTGCAGCAGACCTTTCCTGTCTCACCTGCTCCTCCCCTCTGCAGTGTACTTCATCAATCTGTCTATTCTGCTCCCCACTCTGTCTCTGGTGAATTCTCTCACGGCCCATGCATCTCTAGCCTGTGCCCCAGTTCTGTATGTATAAAATAAATAAAATCCTTAAAAAAAAAAAATTCACCTGTCCTATGTGAATGTCATAAAATTCAGCCCCCCCCACTCTCCCCCCCCCACACACAAAATTCAGTTCCAGTTCTACCATCTGTATAACTTTGGCCAAACAGTTTAAATCTCATTTATAAATAACACATCTGAACTTGGTGATCACTGCAGGTCCCTTTATGCCTTTAAAATCGCTGATGAAAACAATTCGCTCAGAGTTCCCCAAACTGCAGTCTCTCAGATGCCACCTTAATGACTTTCCTATCTACCAACTATACTGTTATTTACTTAGTATTTCTCCTTGTATCACTTCTTTTTCTCAGCTTTGTCCTTATTGTGCATCTATGAAATAACGAGTTTGATACAACATTTTATAATATATATTATTATAATTTAACATAAGAATTATATGTCCATAAACCATCTAAAATCATCTCAGTCTATATACCAGTTATGTCTACCATTGTTCTAATTCATTTTGAAACAACAACTTTAAGGTAAAGATTTCAAGTCTAAAACATCTACCAACTTGAAACCATGAAGTAGTCAAAAAACTAAAAAGCTGGGCCTTGCTGTTGGAATTAAAGGTTAAGTCTCAGCACTATCATTGCTAGGGACTGAGTTCAATGGAGTTTCATGCCCAGCCAGGTAGCTGACCCACATATGGCATAACACACCTCTCCTGTCTCACCTGCTGCTCACTTTAGCAATATTTTTCAGTAAATCGACCTTTTCTGCTCCCCACTCTGTCTCTGCTGAATCCTCTCATTCCCCTCCCCCTCCGTTCCTCCCTAGCCTACATGCCAGTTCTTCTATGCAAAAACTAAAAAAAAAAAAAGCAGCAATAGGAAACCTGAGAATTTTCTCCAGCACTTCTTTAACATCTATTTTACTATTAATTACCAAGATAAAGCAACCCCCCCAGCCCTGAAATCAAAAGGCCTTAAAAAGGACTCAATCAGTAGCCACTACCAGTAATTTTAAAATTTTGACCCTACGCAGAGAATGAGGTATGTCAAAGGCCCTGTCAAGGGATAACAAAAGAGTGAGAGGGGCTCCCAAGCCTCAACCCCACTTCACCCAATACAGCTCTACCTTCTGCTGTTCTATATATTTAGGTTTTAACATGTACTTGTCAGTGCAAGATGCTGATGTTGAAATAAATCATAAGCAGAAGAATTGCATTTGCTATCTTACTGCAAAATTCAAAACTCAAATAAAAATGAACTTTTTATGAAGTATATATTATAAACAATAAACTGAAGATCACAACTGAACCTAAAAAGGAAAACTGGCTGCAATTCCTTGTGATGAATAATAGGATATTCTTAGAAAACGGCTTTCCAAGAAAATCGTTAACAATGCAAGAGAAACTTACCTCATGTGCACAAGTAGAAATGTGAGGAAAATCAAAAGCCAACCTTTTATTCTTTCTAAACAAAAGGAAATCAAATGATAAAATAAAGATGACAGAGAAAAACAATCTTACCTGATTTCGTTCTCTTTTCCCAGCTGATGGTAACCAGAAACTAAAGAGAGGGAGAAAATAACAGGAAAGAAAACAATAAAAGAAGTGGTAAGGGAATTATAAACAGATTAGAAGATGCTGGGATAATGATGTGAAGACAAAGAAAACCAGGGGGGGGGGTGGAGTTGGAGGGAAACAGAAAGGTATTAAATGTCTGAAAATTCTTTGTAGAAAATAACTCTTCAAAGGAAAGTTTTCTAGTGGTATGTAAAAAACTGGACACTAAATATAAACCCCTGACACTAGGGCACTCTTGGTTTTGCAGAAATAACAAGGACATAAACCGCACATACATACACATCTTGTCGATTTTGTAAATTAGAAATCTGACCAAGTTAGATGTACACAGAGTCATAGCTAAATATTGGCCATGTCATGTACAGGAAGCATCAAAGAGACACTATTATTAGGGGACAAGGCTGCCACAAGAAAGCGCAGAACAATTTCCCAAGAGCTACACTTAGATTTTCCAACTGCATTGACTATATTAGTTAGGACAAAAAGACATTTCTCTATACAGAGGTCTAAAAATGGGAAGCATGCACAGGACAATGTAGAGGCAAGCACTCCATTTGGAACAAAAAAGAAATTTTACGAGACAGAAAAATGAGTTTAAAATATGACATCCATATTAGAGGTTACTTTTATAGTAAAGCACCTATGGATATAAAAACAAGTCTAAGAAGAAAAAAAAATCACCATCATGGGTTTAGGGTGTTAGTCATGTTAACTGTTTCAAAACACAAATCTTTACAAACTCCTCTTTCAACTCTTAAAAAGTCAGAATTCTAGGTTCCTTCATAAAACTTCCTCCTGTCTCCTTCACCAGTAACAGGCTAGGATAGCCATAAATGTGTAAGGACTCACTCTTTCTGCCGAGGATCACTAATGATGGGGCCTAGTCTTTCAGCACTCAAAGTACTTATGCTGGTCTCCTGAAAAGACAAGAAAGAAAGATTATCACCTAACCACAGAAACACACATAGAGTCTGATCTGTCCCCAAGCTCACATTTCCCCTAACAGCTAGGCAGGGCAACCTCAACAGCACATCTCAAATGTCAACCTTAAACTCTGACAGTAGATTTCTTTTTATGGGAGTCTATCTTAAAAGAACATATCAAAGACTTATTTTTCTCCAGTGTTCAAAAAAGTCACTGTAAACAGTTTGCCATATATGGTGATTTTAATATAGTGAATAATGAGTATCTACTGGAGTTATCAAAGTATATAGGGATAGAAATATTTTTTTCAAATATTCAATAGCAGCCAACTTTGAACAGGCCAGCACACCACACTCCTTGGGGTTGTGTGATAATACCTCCCACAGACTTCACAATGGGACATTTATTGAGGCTTCACTGGGAACATTAAACTGCTGCTGACCAAATGGATGCACAGCAAAGCATTTTTGTGACTTACAAAAATTGTGACCCTTTTTATGCTGTTAAGTTTCATCTCTTAAAGTAAAAACAGGAAGTCTATATAAATTGGTTTTAAATTTCATATAAAGATTGTTATATGAAATCTTACCCATAATACCACAAGTAATTAAAAAACTGGTCATCCTCAAAAAAATGCAAAATGGCAGAAGGCGTTCACACTTCATTTAACTTTGCATTTACAGTGAGTATTTATCACAGTACCTGAGGTGACATACTAACAGGTGAGTTATAGACCTATGAGTAGGAGCTCAAATGAGTGCGTAAGTCATGAGCATGCTGTCAAGCCTATTACTTGAACACATTTGTTTCCCATCAAATACTGTTATCTATAGTCATTTGTGCGTGAATTAACCTAAACATTAGGATACATTTTAGTAGAACAACTAGCCACAGAAAATTAATTTGCAATGAGATTCTGAGTGGGAGTGGAGCTAAATGAAAAGGTATTGTATACTGCATTCTTTGTATTCCTCATCCCTTACACCTATGCCTCCTGGTCTCACACAAAGCCATGGTAGTGGGCCCAAGGGAAAGATGGGTGAAGAATGAGTTATTTGTTACAGCAGAAAAATTATTAACTTAAAGTGCCATAATGTTTAAATTTACAGTTTATTACTGTGTAAATTACAAGCAGTACTTTGCGTAATTAGCAGCTCACTGGCAGGGAGCTATGAATGAAGCCCATTATTTATGATTACAATTTAGAAAAGAGGAGAGTTGGGGGAGGGGGACAGGGGGCTAGACAGTGACCTCTGCTAGAAATGACAAATACCTCTTTAAGGTGATGAAGATGAATTAAGCAAGGAAATACTATTGTATTCATTTGAAATCATTAAGAGGTACCTCTAATAGACCCTAGTTACCTTCCAGGCAAGTAAAGGGGGCCTTCAAGATGAACTGATTTACTTCCATGGAAGTAGAAGACTCTTATTTTATAGGAGCTGAAATAAAGTAAAGTAAATGCTAGGGAGAACCTGTCAGAACTAGCCAATAAAGAGAAAACAGTAAGATGAGCTCTCTGTTCCCTATTTCCAGCCTCCCCTCACCCATGTACTCTCAGCCCGTAGCTAGACTGTTAAGAATTAGCTCCCACAATAGCAAAAGCAGCATCTTGTTACCTGAAATAACAAGTGAGCCAAAAGAGGACTCATTCTATCAATAATCAAATAACTCTCTAATTAGATATTTGAAACTGAATTTAAAAATAAGAAATTAGTTCACTTGAAGAGAAACAGCTTTATTCCTTCTGCTTGGCTATAACTTCAGAAAAGAGTTCCCTGGTTAAACTATAAAACAGTAGCTCGCTGAGGGCAGCCAACTGTGGCTCTGACTGCCACAGCCCTGGCCTGCCACACAGCCGCACAGCAATCATTCTGAGAGTTTACTGATGAACAAATTAATGCTCAAATGTCTCTGTACTCTTTGCCTACCACCATTGTCTCTAACTGGGGATGAACCCCAGACTTAAACTATTTCAATATCAAAATTAAACAATACAATAAAACTGTTTTAAAATATTAATCATAAAAGATAAAGGGAAGTGGACCTGGGTTCAATTCTTTATTTTGACACTTCTATCTAGGAAACAAGATATTTCTTAACTTCTTTGAACTTAAGTTAATTTCCTTTTTTAGCAAAAAGGAGCATCACACTTTTTCTAAGGGTGTTGGGAGAATTAAGTGAACTGAATGCCTGGCACAGTCCCTGTAAAAGATAGAACTGGGTAAAATGGTAGATACTCCTCCCTGGTGGCCAAGGGCATGGGAGTCCTGGAATTTGATGAGAGATTTCTTTTGCTTAAAGAATTATAGAATAAAAGATGCATTCATGAATTCAGGAATCATGGAGAAGCCACGAGTATTTTACCTAACATATTAAGGTCAAGCAAAAGAGCAGAAGAGACAGAGATCAGGCCTACAGATTTACCGACAAGAGATACTGACATGACAGTGTTTGCTCTGTCAGAACTTCAGTATGAATTAAGCCTCATCTTTTATATATGTATCCATTTATAACCTACATAATGTTCACTCTTGTGAACTTGCAAAAAAAATCAGTTAGCTTAATTAACTCCCAGGAGAGCTACAGCACTCTTGGTAATCAATAGCTTATGCAAATCCATGGGAATACTATCTTCCCACAGAGCCTAGGAAACAGCGAGAGCTATCACCTTCCCAACAAGCCTTCTTCGTCCCTTTCTGAGGCATCGAGCTGCAGCTCCCGGCAGACGATTCAAGCGGGCATGGTACCCTTAAAGAAAAAAGACACCAGTTACCAAATGCAGAAGATTCATCAGCAGTGATGTGCTTCCCTTATACCAAAGGTTTTAGCCCCCATGATCTTACTAGATTGACCCTAGTATCACTGAGCTACTTGCTAAGAATTTATTATTTCCATGTGTTTGTCACTAGCAGAATGATCTTTTACCTCCCATCTAGGCATCTTTATTTCAAAAAGTATAATTACTTGTTCAGTTCTTTATTACAAGGCTGTTTCAAGACTCAATAAAATAGCACATTGTAGGTACTTCATAAACTGAAAATGCAACACAAATATAAAGTAGTATCAGTAATTCCTAATTATAAATTAAATGCTAATTACTACCTCAAAACATTCTAAAGATCTATGAAATAATAGTATAAAAAAAAAACATACAGCATCATCACATTTTTCTAGCCACTGTGTTCTACATGTTAAAAAAAAGGGCAACTGGAAGATATAAAATGCTATCAGTGACTGTCTCGGGGTGTGGGATTACAAGCCATCTTAAGTTTTTTTCTTCCTATTCCTGCTTTTTTGTGAGCAACAAAAGGACTTTCAGAAGTGGTCAATGAAATGTTCAATGATAGTAAGTTAGCAAAAACACTTGCCTTAGGCCAGCAACAGTATTTACCAAGAACACACTCCTATGAGTAGGTCTTTCGTGCACCCAAATTCATCCTTACAAGAAGGTACAGAAAGGAGTTCATAGTTCTAAGTGTGAATGAGGTGCCAACAGATGCTCAACAAATATAGGACAACTGGCTACTTGGCTGATTACTGATACCTGGGAATCCTGGAATGATAAATGAATACAGTTAGAAAATGCCACTGAAACAGCTCTGTTCAGTGTCACAATACCTAAAGTGATGGTGCTGGTGTCCCAAGGAAATGAAGTGACTCTATCACAGTCAAAGGCCAGTCACAAATAATAAAAATATGGTAAACAGAACCAGAAAGTATTACCACCATGTTGCCTTCTCCCTGTCCTACGCTCTTTCCACTCTGGCTTGTTTACATCATAATTAAAGGAAAAGCAATCAATGTTTGTGTTAAAGTCCACTATACAGAGAATAAGGAACCCTCTTACAATGCTGATGGGAATTGCAAAGTGGTCCAACCAACCACTATGAAAAGTGTGGAGGACCTCAAATTATTAAAATGGATCTACCATATGACCCAGCAATTCCACTCCTAGGAATCTACCCAAAGTACACAAAGACATTAATTTGAAAGGAAACCTGTATTTACAATAACCAAGATATGGAAACAACTCAAATGCCCCAAAACAGATGACTGGATCAAGAAGCTGTGGTATATACACACAATGGAGTACTACTCAGCAATCAAAAAAAATATGATAAACTCATGCCATTTGCAGCAACATGGATGAAGCTGGAAGAAATTATACTCAGTGAAATAAGTCAGAAGGAAAAAGAATAATGGATAATATCTAGTATATGAGGAATATAGAGAAACCCAACAAAGGGTCAAAAAAAAAGGACAAACTTGTAGGCAACTATATATCCGAGGCTTACGGGAGATGGAGAGAAGAATGACCAAAGCAGGGGTGGGAAGAGCACAAGGAACCATGTGACAGTTCACAGGTGAAGTGATGGTGGGATATCTACAGACAATACACCCGAAGGTAGAACTCAAATACTGAACAAAAAATGCACAGAGCAAGAAAATTTTAAAAGTAATTTAAAAAATAATGAAGTCCACCATATAGAATTATTTAAATCATTATCCATTTTTAAAGTGCCATTTTACTTTGCATGTCAGTGTTCTCACTGAATCTGTTCTCCTCCAAGATCCAGTATGCAGGCTTTCACTGAACACTCGACCCATCAGCCTCACAGCAGGATAAGCAGCTGTGACACGCTGCTGGGATTCCTAAATTTGGCACAAATGGCAATGATAAGCTGAGGTAATTTCCTGCTAAAATATATTCCTAAGAGTCTCCATGAGTAATTTAGGTAAGCGTGACTGAAGCTCGAGTTCCAAGATGCACCCTGAATCCTTTGGAAAAATCCCTGGACTAGTTCCAAACTCCAAGATAGTTAAAAGTGTGCTTAGTGGCTCAAAAGTATGCCTGCCATGGGATGATGTTCCCAAAAAGAACTGCAGAAGTGTGAAGTATATTTTGGTGTTCTCAGAACTCACCTCTTTGAACTGGTCGAGAAGGTAAAAGAAATGTGGAATCCGAAAGTTTATCCAATCCAGAATCTACTCTTTCTACTTCAGAGCAGTGATCAGGAGTCCACTTTGGCAGAAGATTAGGGACAGTGAATCCTGGGACACATTCTCCTTCATAGAACCAATCACTCTGCTCATCATCACCTAGAATAAGAAGATTAGACCACACCATAAGCTGGAAAATTCCAACATGCTCTGTGGAAAACCAAATGGGAGGATAATTTCTCAGCTATTACAGGTTTTTGACTATACTTTTTTTAATGTGTGTATGTTTTACATCATTGTTCATTTTTGTACAGTGTATGCTTGTATACTTTCTTCTTGTAGGTCCATTCCCTAGATTATACTTTTAAATAAAGAAAAAGAAAGGAAAAAATGTTTTTATCCTTCCTGAACAACACTATGATGAAAACATCAACATCAAACCCATATGATAAAAATGTTATACCAGACTGCTTTTAATAGTAAAAACTAATAAAACTACCACTTACTAACTCCTGACCACCTACAAGGAAACACACTAAAATTCTGTATGTATGGCAACTCTTTCCAATTTTATACAAACTTCAACTTATAAATGAAGAAACTAAAACCCAGAAAAGTCTAGGTCAAATTAGTAAATAATGAAACCAGGATTTGAACACAAAGACTAACTTATTGTTTAAAAAGTAAACTGCCTTCGGGCCCTCCCTGGTGGCGCAGCGGGTTAAAGCACAGCACTGAGACTCTAAAGCCGCTTCCGCGTGAGTTCGATTCCCACCTGCCCAGGAGGTGACCACATGGTGTGGCAGACCTCTCCTGACCTGCTGCTCCCCTCAGCAGTGTACTTCGTCGATCTGCCTGTTCTGTTCCCCGCTCTGTCTCTGGTGAAGCCTCTCACCGCCCCTGAGCCTCTGGCCTGTACCCCAGTTCTGTATGCACAAATAAATAAGTCTTTTAAAAAAAAAAAAAAAGTAAACTGCCTTCCATGTATCATTTTCAGTGACATACATGAGATTCAACCCCCACAAATATGTCTTAATTCAAAACTTGCTGTTCCTGAGGGATTTATCATATTTGTATTTCTCATAACAGTTGAATAAAGAATGCATACCCATACCTTATTTCTTTGTCATTGGTGGGACACCACCCTAACACTAACAATTCAAGCTACCAGAAAAAACTAGCTATAGATAATGTAATCCCCTAAGGTTATCAACAAGTTACACCATTTGCCAAAGACCATACCCTTCATTAATGACAGTCAAACCTAGATCCACATATCCAGACTCTTGTTTGAAACTTCCTTCTATTGACTAAATGACAGCACCTAAGTTTCCAAATGAGTTTATTACTGTCCACAAAGAGTAAAAAAAAAATAACTTTGTATTTGTCAACCACCCCTTTCAAAATAGTAAGGATGCAGGAAATTATGACAAGAACATGTGAAGAGATCATAATGCACTCATCTTCTTGCATATACTGGACCCCAGGGCAGTTGCTCAGGACATGCTAATCACATGAACTATTAGATTCCTGGACCACTAACACCCAGGTAACGATAACCCTTAAATCACCACTGAGAGCTCTAAAAGGAGGCATAAAAGCTGCACACTGGCGGACAACAGTAGACATGCCCCAGTGATGTTACCCAGTGTGCTCTATAAAAGCACAACACCAAGAACTGCCTGTCTGAAACAGTGGTTTCCAATCTGTAGTATATATCAGAATAGATCATTAAAACACATGCTGCTGGGCCCTAGTCCTGGTTTCTGATTCTGGTCTGGGCAGAACTAAACATTTACCTTTCTGATAAAGTCCCTACAGTGATGCTAAGTTGGCCTGGAGACCATATTTTGAGAATCATCACTCTAAAAGCATCTCACCAAATGGAGTACATAGAGATGAATTAAAAATAAGCATTAGAATTAACAATAGTAGATATCGCCTCACACAGACATTATCAAAGTAAGAAACAAGAGTTAAAGAGGATGTGGTGAGAATGTAAATTGGTACAGTCATGACAGAAGACAGTAACTGAAGATTACACAAAACTTAAAAACAGAATTTTCATGCGATTAAGTTGTCTTGCTTCTGGAAGTAAGAAAAACACAAAAACACAAATGAAAGAGATACATGTTTATGCAGCGTTATTTACAACATCAAGAACTCAAGTCCCAACAGTCAGATGACTAGATAAAGAATCTATCCACAATGGCAAACCACTCACAAAAAGGATGAAGTCCTGTCATTTGCACACGGATCAATATAAAAGGTATTGTGTTTAGTGAATTAAATCAGAACACTGAAAGACAAACACCGTATCATTTCACTCATGTGGTACATAGACTATAAGGCCAATTAAGGATTTACCAGAAGGGAAGGGCAAGTTGATTAACAGGTGTTAATGGAATGGTGAAGAAGACTTGGTCTTGGCCTTTTAGTGGTAAACTTAAGGTAGTGTATACATATGTTGATTTTTGATGATTAACATCTGAAACTTATATACTGCTATACTGCAATGTTACTTCAATAAAGAGAATTAACAATGATCAGCTTCTCTGGACTTCAATATATTAATTCAGGCCCATGTCCTCCTGCCTCTTTGGGATACTGCTTTAGCCAACAGTTAATTATATTATTTTATAACTTGAAGTTCTATGTACAAACTGCTTGAAGGAGAAACAGGACAATTTTCTCCTTACCTGGGCTTCCTAACAGTTAGTAAAAGTTCGCAATATACCAAACAGGAGTGGAAGCGTTCAGCTGACAAACACAACCACTGTCCCTAGCAGATCAACAGAAGGGGAGCCAGTGAAAAGTCAGGATCTAGTATAGTCGACTATATTACTGTCTCCGACTCTACTGCCTTCCTGTAACAGAATGATAAATCCATGCTCTCTGCCTTTGCCTCAGGATTCCATACCTTTTCTTTGAAGCATTGCTTTTCCTCATTCACTGACATTATGCTTGGTCATATGACTTGCTTAGCTAGATTATTAGCAGCTGTGATTCCAGCAAAAGCTCTAAATATTTATGCATGGTCAGCTTGATCAACTGGCATGCACCTCCACCACCTTCGAGAAGTTCATGTAGCAAAGAGTAATTGCTCTATTAGCTTAGCTCTAGAATCATATACAAGAGTAGCTATAAACCAAACCTGAAGCTGGGAGGCCAGCTGAGTCCAGGTAAGAGCAGCAGAACAACGATCAACTCCCAGTCAGTCCCATGGCAAGAAATGTGGTAAACCTCTGAAATCTGGAGGCTGCTAAGCAGTATTACCATAATAAAAAATTTATTAATATAACCTATCTCCTTCACTTCCCTCCTTCCAATCTTCTGCTGTGCTTTTTAACGGCCAAATCCAGCAGGAAACGAGAGCAAGAAAACCTAATGATGTAGGCTATGAACATGACCCAAAGGGGCAAAAGGAGAACAGGGTCTCGGGAGATGATCAGACATTCAAGGAAAGGTAAGGATAAGATTTCAGACAAACCAGTGTAAAAAAAGATGTGGAAGCAGGAGATAACACATCTTTGTGCTGAGAACTCTAAGCATCTAAATATCCCCAGAATGTGTGAAACTAAGGGAGAAATAGAGGCAAATTGGAGTTATAAAATATAATCTTCCACTATAACCCATGGATTTCCTTCTAAGTGGAAAGATTTTCCAAAGGTTAAAACTTTTATGTGTGGGCCCTCCCTGGTGGCGCAGCGGGTTAAGGCACAGCACTAAGAAGCTAAAGCCACTTCAGCATGAGTTCGATCCCTGCCTGCCCCGGAGCTGACCCACATGGCACAGCAGACCTCTCCTGACTCGCCTGCTCCTCCCCTCAGCAGTGTACTTCGTCAGTTGGCCTGTTCTGCTCCCCAACTCTGTCTTTGGTGAATCCTCTCACCACCCCTGCACCTCTGGCCTGTACCCCAGTTCTGTATGCATTAAAAGAAAAAAATTTAATGTGTAAGAGTCTCACACTTTCCTCTCCATATATTTCTATATAATTATGCATCATAATCTTCAAGAGGTACATTATATGCCCTAGCAGTGCAGCAAAATAAAAAGCATTAGTTTCTCTAAACATATGCAGCAGCTCATTCATGCAAAGACAACCAGACATTCCTGATACAAGATGAGAGGATCAAGACTCCAGCTAGAGACTACCTGAGAGTTTGTAAGGACACTCAGCTCCCTCATCATAATGGGATAGCAATGTTCTCCTGCTATGCCCTACAGGGGAACAACCTCACTTTATTATCCTAAGAAGCTCAACACTCCACAACAATGCCAATTGTTATCCATGCCCACAATTCAGAAGTATGGAAGAGAATCCTGAGTCTCACAGTCCCAGAATCCTTTAGTTACTAGGGAGCCTACCTGTATCAACCTAGACACACAACCACATGCCTCAATTCTTCAATCACTTGGGGAAAATATCATTGGATTTCAGAGTGAAAAGGGACTTTAGAGATCTACTAATCCCTTACCAAGATTAAGCAATCTATAGCCCAAAGGAGCTATATAAAATTCTTACTGGTGCACAATTAGTGTGGACCTAAGCAAGTGTACAGGATAAGAACAAAGCTTCAAATTACAGTTTAGGTAATAAAAATAAAGGACTGATAATTAAAATATACCTGCTTTATTCACAATGCCCTATACTATACTAAATTTCAGGAACTTTAGAATGATGTTTTCTACTGCATGTTCACCTAGAACACTTAATCATTAATAAGTTAGAAAAATAAACTCTTCCTACGTGAACATAAAGTCTTAACATCCCACAAAATAGAGTAATATATGAGGATCTGGGGGTTCTAACAAAAAACAGCTTCCCAAAATCCCTCTTACATAAAACCCTTGGGACTCAATGATTCTTACTATAAACAATCTGCATTAAGAATCACCACAGGTGTTTGTGGGAAACACAGATTCCAAAAGCCAACTTTAAACCTGTTTGACTTGTAGATGCTCAGGAATTTGCAGTTTTAACAGTTCCACTGGTAGCTCACATATGCCCTACCATTTTATTTCAGAACCAATGCTACTGACAACCATTATATTCTCAGTGACTCCTATAATAATTAAGACTCTTCCCAGATACAACCCAGAACAGCCTCAAGAATACCTTGCCGTCCTTCGTCGTTGGTAAAGAGCCCCGTGTCACTGCTGCTACACACACTGCTGGTTTCGCTGAAAAACAGTAAGACAACATGTCAGTTCGAGTCAAAAACAAAGCACTGACCCCCATTCGCCTCATTTCACTCCAGCCATCTGCCAATCAGAAATGTAAATGTCATGGGGAACTTCTTCATAGGGGAAAGTTTGTTTTTCCCTGACAATGAAAGAAATACAAGAATTCTAAAACTTACTTGTATTTCAAGTAACTTAAGAAAGTATGGAACATTACTTTGTTAGTTTAGAAAGCTATTTAGCAAGGCTCACAGCAGTAATCTCAATCTGGTTTGACATATTGACACAAATTTACAAATATACCTTTATTTTTATATGCTGTCAACTATCAGTTTCAAATAAAATTATTCAAATAAAATTTTAACTTTAAGACATCTAGCAACTCTTCTTTTCCTCCATTTACAAAGCCGCAAAATCTGCTAACAGATTTTTGGTCAATATGACAAAAGTTGTATTTTCTAAATTAAATATGTATCTTGATATGAATGGATTCTCAAAATTAATTTTGTTGAAAAAGGAGGTAAGGTAAAAACAAACTCTGAACTCACTGAAATAAAATTTTGTCCCACATAATTCTGTCCACTCAACTTCATTTCCTGATCTATTGCCAACAATTTATCTTTACTTGATTGGCAGTGTTCCTTTCCATTTCATTTTTCTTTCTCATCTGCTGTTTAAGATGGGGAAAAAAACCAAAGCAAGGAAGTTGTGTTCTTACCATGCTGCATAAAAACAAACTGGCAAAATCCCAATCTACATTTCTGAGTCAAAATCTGAAAATATTTTGTATTTTGCAATATTCCCAAATATCTTGCCAACACTAAGTCCTAAAACATTGGTTACATTGAATAGCAATGCCTTCTCATGTCTCTGAAAGCCAGATTCAACAGATTTGCTGCAAAAGACAGTAAGACATACCTGATTTCTTTCAAGGTTCTTCCACTTGATTTTCTTCTGTATTTTTAAGTAAGTACAGAAAGTGTTACCGTAAAAAATGTCTTACAAAACTGTGCAACTGATTCTGATGGATTTAGAAACTTCAAAGAATTCTCCAGTTAAATTCAGAAAAAGTTCTCATTAAGTATGGCATTTTTTTTTTTTAAGATTTATTTGTACATACAGAACTGAGGTACAGGCCAGAGGCTCAGGGATGGTGAGAGGCTTCACCAGAGACAGAGTGGGGAGCAGAACAGGCAGATCGACTAACTACACTGCTTAGGGGAGCAGTGGGCGGGTCAGGAGAGGTCCGCCGCGCCATGTGGTCACCTCCTGGGCAGGCGGGAATCGAACTCACGCGGAAGTGGCTTTAGCTTCTCAGTGCAGTGCTTTAACCTGCTGCGCCACCAGGGAGGGCCAAGTATGGCATTCTTATGATATCTGAGTTTAAGTAACTATATCTGTACCACTGAATGGTATCGTTTTTACATTTTTTAGCAAAATCCTTGGAATATGTTGGTTATAACTCTATTGAGTTATAACCAACACGACTGCTCAGATTACTATTTCATTATTCTCATCTAGTCTTGAAAACAAAGCAAATTTAGTATTTTTTTAATATAATAGTTTATTTTTACATCATTTTGTACATTTTTTTTTATCTCAATTGTAATCCCCGTGGGTTCCCATCACTGAGTCACCTGTGTGCTAGTATTTTTTTCTTTAATTCAGTATTAAGGAGTACTTAAAAAGCACATTAGGCCAGATATAGAACAGATAGTCTACAATTTCTCCTAAAATTTCGCATTTACTTAGTAAGCATTTTTTTTTACCATATACTACATACTGTAGAGCAGCACTACAACTAACCAAAAAAACCCATGTCAATCATTAATTTACATGCATGAATTTTTATTTAAAAAAAACTAGGCTATCAAAAAGAGAAAGGTATGAGAAGGCATACAAATACTTTCCAATGAAGAACATCCTACATCTAACAAGTTTAGAATTCAGCCTTTGAACACTCAAGAATTCATCCCATTTTAGAAGCCAGAAAATGACTCAAAATTATTCATGAAAATAAAGACTGTGATAACACATCCACTTCTCTATGCCTCTCACTTAAAAAATTCTCCCTTTATTCACAGTCATCATTTTAAGACACAAAATGAAAGCCTAGAGTTTGGACCACCAAATGTATTACCTAATTATTTTATTATTAGAAAAACAACTTAAGTGCAAATAATTGCTAACCAGCAGTTCCAGATTTTCTTCCCCAATATTTTATTATGAAAACTTAAGCATACCAAAGAAGTTACAGCTACCACTTGCATTCCATTACCTGCGTGCCATAATTAACATTTTATTTCTCTTATTCATCTAGCCGTCACACCTTCAGACTTGAGCATCTTTGTAACTCAAGGCATTCTTGGCAGATCAGATTAGTTGGGCACGCACCAGTTGTAGAGACTATTACCACGTAAACAGAGCCTATTAAGATGCTACTGATACCTCTGTCCACTTAAATTATTAATTCCAATGCGAACACCATCAAACATTGTAAACTATGGTGCTAACTTTAAAATGTATTATCTGTTCTTTCCATGTTCTGAAAAATCAACCGTTGACCCTTTTGAGCCGACTACTTTCAAAACAGCAAAACAGCAAGGGCTTTCAGCATTTTAATGACAGCATTTTTTTTTTTTAATTTTTAAAGATTTGTTTATTTATATATACAGAGGTGCAGGGGCAGTGAGAGGATTCGCCAGAGACAGAGGGGTGAGCAGAACAGGCCAACTGATGAAGTACATTGCTGAAGGCAGCAGCAGGTAGGTCAGGAGAGGTCTGCCGCGCCATGTAGGTCACCTTCAGGGCGGGAACCGAACTCATGCTGAAGTGGCTTTTGCTTCTTAGTGCTGTGCTTTAACCTGCTGCACCACCAGGGAGGGCCCTGACATTTTTACTTTATAAAGATGATCAATGTTTTGGTCATATTAAATTCTCTAAATTTGAAACTCATGCTGGTAGAGTCGAGTCAATGAAGTAAAAGACCAATCTCAATACCACCAGAAACATCTTGACTAGAGGCAATTTAGCCCACTTTCTTCTCCCCAAACCTCTTCCAGGGATATTTTTTCTGGGGGGATGAGGGGAGATCAGGACTTGGGAGGGGTAAAGGAGCTGGTGTCCTATTGATATGTAGTGACTGGAGAGGCCAGGAATGCTGCTAATATCCTATGATATAGAGGACAGCCCTCACAACAGAGAAATGCCTGATGTAAAATGTCAATAATGGCATTAAGAAGTCTAATCTAGAGTGATAATAAAACAAAGAGCATCATGTTTGACGGAAACCACTTCAGATGAGAAGAGGAACCTGTGTGCTTCCATCAGCTAGATAGAGCCGCCTTCAGGGCAGAGATGACCACCCCGAGGAAGCAATAATGTCACTATTTTACCAGGGCAGGCCAAGATGTCCAGACCCCCATTTGGACCTTCAGGCAAACTGGTAGAACTGAAACTAGAGTTACACAGATCACCCCTCCCTGCCTAGCCCAGGCAATGAAGATCTGTAAGGATGGTTAAAGAGAATCAAGCTGGAAGGAAAAAAAGGAAGTATCTTGTTCATCTCATTAGTTCCAATGCCTAGAAAAGCATATGGTACACCAGAGGTGTTCAGTAAATGTTTTGAAAGTGAAGTTAGCTTGTTCTAGATCTGCTCTACTGTCTTATATGACTTCATGGTATGTCACTTCAACTCTCTGAATACTATTTCTCTGCAAAATGATGCAGATGAAACATTAAGAGGAATGGTTGGGCCTCCCTGGCGGTACAGGTGTTAAGTCTCAGTGCTGTGAAGCTATCACAGCATGGGTTGGATCCTTGGCCAGGGAGCTGACCCACAGACCTCGCCTGTCCTGCCTGCTGCTCCACTTGGCAGTGTATTTCACTTGACCTGCCTATTCTGCTCCCCATTCTATCTCTGTGAATCCTCTCACTACCCCCACACGTATGGCCTACACCCCAGTTCTTGTATGCATAAATAAATCTTTAGAAAACAAAAAGTAAGAGTCATGTTTGAACTACTTTGTGAACTCTAGAGCATAATACAAATGCAAAGGATGAAAGATGTGAAAGCCAATTGTAGGTGCTAGTTCTCATAAGTATCCAAATACGATTATTTTAGAGGCAATTTCCAGGCAGATCTACTAAAATACACTGCTGAGGGGAGCAGCAGGCAAGATAGGAGAGGTCTGCTGTGCCATATGTGAGCCAGCTTCCCAGCCCGTGATCAAACTCAGGCCACAGGTGCAACAGCGCTGAGACAGAGCCCCTAGGCCTCCAGGGAGGTACTATTTTCATTTTAAATGGAAAACCCAAATACAGCCTATGCCATCTACTATTTCTTTGCAATGGATTCCACTCAAGAGAAGGAGACACTGGCTCAGTAGCTATTAGGTTACAAGTGTCTCCAGAAGGGGTTTGTACTAGAATTTAGTTTATTGGGGGGGAAAATTGTTAATATAAAAGGCTATACTATTAATTATTGATACTACTATAATTTAGAATGATACAATAAGTTATACTACAAACCAGACCAATACTAAGTGGTTTCTATTTATTACCCTATCTCTTCCACCCTAAAACTCATCATTCAGATGAAGAGATGTGGCCTAGAGAGGTTAAGCCACTTCCAGAGTCAGCACTAGAGCTCAGGGTGGCATTATCTCCAGAGCCATGGGACTGTTTAATGTCCACCAGCACATGGATGGATTCACCTCATTCACTAACAGTCAATCCCATGTTTCTCTATTCTTAAGATACTTCTGACTTTCAGCACTTCTTATTTTCACTCTCCTGAAAATACAAAGAGATTAACTAAGGAAAAGAGTATTCCTTTGCTTTTTGCTACTTAAAACATTCAGACACAGCAGAAACTTTACTTGTGCTTTTACAATCAGTTATCAGCTAAAGAAGTACCATATAGACTAGACACCATGAAAATTAAAAGAAGCACCTGAAAAATAAGGCCTCCCTCTTAATGTAATAACTTAATTTTAAAA